GACAAAAAAAAAAAAAGAAGAAAAAATCTCCATTTATTTTTCTTAAACTAAATATATTATTATTAATGACTAAAACCTTTAATTTGAATTAAGTATAAAATTCTTAACTAATTAAAATAGTATTTTTAAAGAGCATTTTATAAGTTTTTATTGCCCACATTCTTCCTATTTTTCTCGTTGGGCTTATGTTCAAAAGGATAATAGACAAAACAAGACAAAACAAACGATCCCACATTATAATTTGATAATCTAAAGTAAGACTTTTAGAATTTAAATAAAGAGTCCGAAGTCGTTTAGCAAATTTTGATTGCATGCATAAATAATACTATAAATGAAATTTTTAATTAAGAACTGAGAAAGTCTACTAAGAAAAGAGGGAATAATATACCAAATTTACAAAGAATGGATTCGGTTACTTCAGTCCCCTCTCTTCCCCACAAAATGCAAAAGACACACTCCCCTGCTCTGCTAGCATCTTTTGCTCATCCTGGAAACAATAAAAATAAAATAAAAATTCCAAATTAACAGTTAAAACATAAAAGAGAACGCAGGCAACACATGGGAAGTAACGCCGGCCGTCTCCGGCACAGCAATAAGACCACTGCTCGTCCTCAGCGGCCCCAGACTCGACGGCTGCGTTGTACTCATCCTCATTGCAATATTAAAATCCACTGTTATTCCCTCAAAAAAAAAAAAAAGCCACTGTTATTAATGGCAGTCAGAGAGTAAAAACCAGAGAATACAAGAAAATTTATATTTAGTAACTAAATTATTAATTATTAAATTTTTATTTTTTATCATAAATTATTATTAATGATAAATTTTAATTGTTAGTAAAACCTTTGTCACTAATGCATTTAGTGATAAATTAAATATCTATCATAAAAAAAATATTATAGTGATAGAAAAAATTAACATTGTTAAGAAGTTATTTATAACAATTTTATTCGTCACAAAAAAATATTTTTTGTTACAATAATTTTCATCACAAATGTTACAATTGGGGGACAAAAATAGTCACAAATGTAATTGTGATGAAAATTTTAGTCATTAATTATTAAAATTGATATTAAATAAAAAAGATATTTATATAATTACAACACAAATATTATAACAAAAATTTTGTCATAAA